GATATTTTATCGAGTGTGCTTGATTCAAATCAAAAATGAAAAATTCGTGGATACAACACTCCAAATGGGGGTAAACCGCGGATACGTGTTTCTGGCTATTGGCCTCATCAGCGCGTGACATTCTGGACCCGGATGTCACGCAGGTAGCTATAGCTGCCGTGGTCGAGTTAGATGAAGCCTGGGAATTCTAGGTCTTCTAACTGGAACCACAAATGTGCGGTTGGATCCTGTTGTTGACTCCGTGCGTTTGTGTTGTTTCCTGCTTTCGACAAACAAGTGTTGCCCATCTTTATACTTGGCTGCACCGCGCTGATGAGGCCAATAGCCAGAAACACGTGTCCGCGGTTTGCCCACCTTTTGGAGTGTTGTATCCACGAATTTTTCATTTTTGATTTGTATCATGCACACTCGATAAAATCTCTATAAAAGTACTTGATAAAAATAGCTGCGTGAACGCAAGCGAAACATAAGTGGAACCACCTATTGGTGTGACACCCAAGTCAACTTGACAAGTTTTTATGTCAGTGTTGGTGGTTTGACCAATCAACCGACAACTGCGGTAGTAGAAATTTGTGAAGATAACCTGAAATGCCATCGGAAAACGAATCCACATGTTTCTAGAAATGATATTAAATCAAGAAATACTTAAACGACGATGACCATCGACATTTTGTCTACGTCTGACGTTAGCTGTCAAACTGGCATACAGAATATTTTTCGCTGCGATAATTTCGAAGTTTTTTACACAAATACGACTATTTCTGGTGGATGATTAGCCATTCACCAGTAGTTATATATCTCCTATTAGTGAGTGCGTTGCTTGTAGTGCGCAAGGACCCTCCAGACTTCTGGTGAGTGCGTTCAAATTATCACTTTCTGGAAGTGTTCATCGCCTACCCTTGGGATAACGAAGGGTGTGAGTTTTTCGACAGCAGTATGGAGGAACTGCTTGACAGTCTGATGGCCAGAGACAGGGGTGAAGTAATTACCTTCATGGGTTTATTGCTTGATCGCCTGGGCCTGAGTCCATCAGAACTGCTAAGGGGCAGCTCCGTGGTGGCAGTTCGGGAGCCCTCTGGCCCTCTACCAGGAGCCAAGGAGCTTCTCGAGCGTCCGTCACGGAATGTATCCTCCAGAGATACTTCCGTCGGCACCACCCTCTCTGCTCAGTCTGAGACCAACAACGACGACAATACGATCAAGCCTCAAGAACCGGCCAACAAAAAGCATCGCCTTCCAGAAGAGTTTCCTCCTCTTCCATCCAAACCAGTCATTCCAGTAAACAAAAATAACGGCAACAAGCCCAAAAAAGTGGATAAAAAGATGGCAAAGCTCCGGGACGAAGTCAAGAACAACACTTCAGAGTCAGAACTCTCAACAACAGAGTCTTCCGTCGAAGGTGACCATGAAATGTTTGACGACAATAGGTCTGATAAATCGATTTCGACTATACAGGGTGGCCCAAAACAGCCATCTCAAAATCTAAATCAGGTTGAAACCCCAACGATCAGGGAACTAGCTTCCCTCTCCTTCCGCGTCCTGAGGTACCCCAAAGCACCAGAAAAACACGCGTTCCCCCAATTGTCGTTCGCCAGAAGGACAAGAGGGTTCAATTCACAAAGCTGGCTGCCTTCCATAAGGTGAACTTTACCAAGGCAGTAAACATGGCTGACGGCATAAAGGTTCAGCTTTCTTCGGCCGAGGACTACAGGAGTATGTCCAAACTATTGGTGAGGGAAAAAATTCCCCACCACACGTATACCTTACTTGAAAACAGGCAAATCAGAGCCGTCTTCAGAGGAGTCCCGGAACATCTGGAGACCGCTGACATCGAGGACGCCTTGGTTGAAAAAGGTTTCCAACCATCATCCGTCACCAGGATGATGCGAGGAAATCGACCCCTCCCCCTGGTTTTGGTTCAAGTGAACCAAAATCAGAAGCATATTTATGACATCCGGGATCTCCTTAACGTTAAAGTTAAGGTTGAGCCCCAACACCAAAAAACACTGGTAGGGCAGTGTCACCGATGTCAGCGGTTCGGGCATAGCCAACGGAACTGCCTAGCTATTCCAATTTGCGTCAAATGCGGCGGCAGACACCTTTCAGGTGAGTGCAAGGAGCCACGAGCAGATCCGCCAAAGTGCAATAATTGCAAGGGTGTGCATACTGCAAACTACCGCTCTTGTCTTGAGTTCCCCAGGGTTCGCGGGAGGACCAAAGTAGCTTTAAATGCCCCCCGAAGTGCACCCACACCTGGAAAGCATCTTGCCGGAGCATCTGGCACACGCCCGGGAATGAGCTACGCAGGAGCGGCCAAGAGCGGTAACACCTCCGCCAGGCCGACCGAGGCGCCCAGTAGTCTAGTAGGTGATGAGCCTTGAAGGCTGGGAAGCCTTCAAGGCTCACCTAGTGGAGACACATACAGACGGTGAGGCTCTTCAAACTCGCAACGGTCTCGACGCGACAGTGGCAGATTTCGAATTGTCTGTGAACAACGCTTTCCGCGCACCCACAACCAGGACAGAGTGTCCTCTGTGGAGCTACAATGAGTTTCCTCCCAGGATAAAGAACCTTATCCGGGAGAGAAATCGACTCAGACGAGTTTATCAGCGGACTCTCTACCCTGGAGACAAGGCTGCGACTAGCAGGATGGCCAACCAGGTTAAACAGGCCATCACTGACTATAGAAACGAGAGGTGGAGCGAGTGTTTGGAATCGCTCGAACCTGGGTATGGCGAGCTCTGGCGAGTCATCCGCAGGCTCGAGAAGAGGAAAACCGCTCCCTCCCCTCTTCACGGACAGCGCGGCATCTGCTACTCCCCCGCCGAGAAGGCGTTGGCCTTTCTTTGCAGGAAACTCAGGAGAAAAATTTTACTTTGATCAACTTTGAGTTTACCTCAAAACTTAATTCAATATTATATGTTTGAATAACTAACCTAATAAATGATAGGTGACATTTCTGAGAGTTTTCATCTCACCGTGTCTGAGATATCTAAAGCCAAATAACAAATTGTGAACGCCTAATAAATTATTAGTTTGCATTATAACATATTTCATAGAAGATCACCTAGTAAATCTCACTATATGAGATAGCTACTTTGAGTTCATAATGGTAGCCCTAAGAAGGGCTGTTTTTGTCAGTCCATACTTTGTAGACTAGTTGTCATCGTCATCCGTATCAAATGATTTACTGATATGTGATGGTGTACTGATGGATGACGGTAAGCTTCTTGCGGATGAACTGATTGAATCAGAATCATCCACTACTTGTATCCTATTATGGTATCCTTCCGAAAAACAATAATTCAAGTGTAAATACTCGGAGTACCTGAGATTTCTTCGAGTATTTACACCATCGGTTGAAGAACTAACTTCATCAACCTGGATGGGACCTGTCGTAGGTTCTTGACGATGCTGATTATCTACTATAGTTTTGGTAATTGAATGCGCTAGCCTATTCTATGAACCCTGCAATTTGTTATCGTTTTCTTTTGATAAAAATAATCTCAACATATAACCCTCGTATACCATGCTCAATAAATCAATATGTGTACAATTCCATGGTTTGAAAAATTTTCTTTCATGTATAATAATCAAAGATAAAGTCCCTCGACCTCAGGTATTAATCAAATTATTGTACCCTCAGATCTTTAACTTAGACATATTTCGGAAATCATGGTTTTGGACATATTTTGATTGGTTAAACTGAATGCATCTTTTCTTAGGTGGATGTCTGTTTTTATACCAAATTATTCCCTTCGTGCCTCTTATTATCCCAAACAAGTATTTATTTCGTGGAGTAAATTGTTCGTTAATATACAGGGCTATTCAAATTCGTTTCTGTACATGGGGATCTCGTAAACGATAAGAGATAGAGTGTCAGTTAAATTATGGCAATGTTGCGTATTTTAGAGACCTATTCAATGATGTAATGAAATCGAATATAGCTCTTTTGGTTCTGAAGATATACAGGAAAAAACCAAAAATGTTTTTGCCTATATCTTGTTCATTCGCAGACATATTGGAAATCTGTTCACATTTTGCTATTGGCACTTGATGTGGGCTCTCAGAATATATCCATGAATTTTTAGGGTGTCATCTGACTTGGGCCACCCCCATGTTTGAATTTTCAAATACGGACCTGTATTTTTTTGTAGTTTTTGGATTGTAGACGTTCACTTCATACTGAGAAATTGAATTCAATTTTATATTTCGGGATTTTTCGGTAATATTCGATTATAATTGTGTGAATTATTCCCTTTTAAATTACGGTCCTGGAAATTGGTTGACTGAGTTGAATAAAAACACAATAGCATCTTTCACGTCTCCCTATGTACCGTAGAGTTTTTAGGTGCCTATTCATATTTTTTCCATTGCTCTGAGCGTTTTCTACAATGAACTTCGAATAAGAAAACCTTTTATGATTATCTGAAACATATCTACAACAAAAATATATTATATGTGTTTTGATGAGCAGAAAAAAAAATGGTAGCAATAATATCATCCGAAACGAACACTATAATTATAATGAAAATTGAAATGGACGCTTGGTTCTGTTTGAATGAGGTTTCACAATCTCCACAAAGAAATAATATGATTGAGAATCCAGCATTTTTCTTATACCACACATGATCACAATTTTTTTCTGGGTGAAATTACCAGCAGCAGGGCATTTAAGTGGAAGATAACAATTTTCATCACCATCAGCTGAATCAAGTACGAAAATCATTTGATTCTTCTTCGAATTGTTCATGATTTTATTTAAAACTTGATATTTTTCACTTTCGAAAAGTGAATTGTTATAATATGTGAATTGTAAAATTTTCTCGATAAAGTGTTCTTGACATTGTACTGCAAAGTTTTATGTAGCCGAGTTTCTTAGTATATCTATTTTGAGTATTTTTCCATAACACTGAACAAACCAAAATATGATTTTAGCAAGTTCAAATTGATTTTGAATTGATTTCATTTCGAATAACAATTTTTCACGCCGACATGTTGAAAGACTTTCTTTGTTTCAGATGCAAATGGTTGCGTTAAATGCTGGAGCTATCATTTCAATCAATGTCTGTACACCATCAAAGAAAAGCGTCAAACCTTTGGCATAACATACCACCCTAGATTTCCAAAATTTGTGACTTATGGAGATGACCTGAGAGTTTATTTTTACGATGAAGAAAGTAAGACACAGGAACGAGTGTTGATGGCAAGGTGAGGTATATTTAATTCATATCAAATTTCGAAAAATGTTATGACATATATTTCAATTTCATGTCAAAGTTTGAAACATCACAAAAACATATATCACCAGCATTCAAAAAATTTTGCCTTTTTCATACGTTATCATACGTTTATTTTCAAGTATTTTAGCGAAAATCCAGATAAACATGATGGCCATATGTCCAGAGTATTTGCCGCATGTTTTCATCCAAGGAATAACTACGAACTAATTACTGGTGGATGGGACGATGTGGTTCAATTTTGGGATCTTCGACAGCCCTATGCAATACGCCATCTTTCTGGGATACACATTTGCGGTGAAGGACTGGACATCAACACGAAAGGAACTGAGGTGAGTTCCGAAAGAATTATTTGAATGAGAACTTCGATCATTTCTGTTTTTTCCAACTTGAATCGAAATACTAAGTTTTCTTATTTCATCGCATCTGCTGGGAGTGGTACCCCTCTTGGCTCATTTTTTACATATATATCAGTTAAATTTTAAAAATCTCAATTCCACCTCTATTTCAATCTAGATTCTCACTTGCGGTTTTCAAACTAATGACCCCCTCCAAATATGGGATTATGGCAGTGGAAAAAGGATTTCTTGTTTGGAACCGGATATCTACAATAGTAAAGTAAGATATTAATTCACTGTTATTCATGAAGTATTTATGAAAAATTCCTCATGGGGATTTATTGTTAGAACTTATAATAGTTAGTAAGGGGACGTAAACATCCATTCTAAATATTTGAAAGACAACATTTGGAACTGTTTCCAACTCTAAAAAGGAACATTCCATATTCTCATCAAACACTAGGAAATTTCCTTGACATATTCAATAAGACACTTTTCAATTCGCACAGAGGTGCCAAATGAATTCAAAACATTCAACTCTGTCAGGTTTCCCACACGATAGAAACCTACGAAAGCACATTGGAAAAATAAAGTAAAAATAAATTATAACTTTCATTTACTGAATATCGTTATCGTTGGATTATAATTTAGCGCGACAAGATTAGCTTAGCATAGAAGTATCTAAGAATTTATGTTGCTGACAAAATGTAGAACGATAATAATATTCAATAAATAGATAGGTATAATTTATTTTCACTAGAATTATTTCTCTATTCTGAACAACTTATTTTGTCGTTGAGTTCCTCTACGCCCTGTTGTCAGCGCTTTCAGTTCGGAAACATATAACCTTGCTAAACACCTTGCAAATACTCTCCAACCCCTTGCAGAACAGTCCTCATCATATGTACACAATTCATTTCACTTCATTGAAATCCTCAAAAATCTCAGTATCCAACAGACTAACATCTTTGTGAGTTTCGACGTAGTGCCTTCATTCACAAATATTCCCGTATCAGATACATTGAACATTCTCGAAACACCTCCCTCAAACACCCTCAAACTCATCAGTCACTGTATGTCCAGCACATACTTTCCTTCCAAGGTACCTTCCACAAACAAGTAAAGGGTGCCCTTATGGGTTCTTCTGTTTCACTAGTCTTTGCAAACCTTTTCAAGCATGACTTCGAAACCAAGGCTATTTGCACGTTCGATCACAAACCCTCTTGCTGGTTCAGATACGTAGATGACATTTTCTTCATATAGCCCCACGGCTCCGAAACTTTCCATAATTTCCTCGATGACTTCAACGACCTCCACCCAAATATAAATTTCACAATGTAATTGAAACCAATAACTCCTTTCCATTCCTAGACGTCCTCATCACCAAATTCAATAACTTCTTCACCCACACGGTCTACAGGAAACCAACACACACAAACAGATACCTCAACGCAAACTCTCACTATCATCCAACACAAACCAACTCCGTTTTGAATTATCTCATCCATGGATCTATCACCCTCAAAGATCTCCACAACAAACCACAACTGGCTCAACTCAAATCAGCCCTTCTTCTAAATGGATTCACAGACCATCAAATTGACAGATCCATCCGTCGTTAACAAACTTCTCCATTCAAAAGACAACAACGTTCCCCACAAAGCCTTCCTTTCCTACATTAAATGTGTTACTGACACAATTGATCTAATTCTCAAAAAACAGGACATAAAAACTGCGAACAATCAAATTTCCACATTCCTCCGTTCCCCCAAGGACAAAATTGTCAATGAATCTCAGGATATATTGAAATTCCATGTTCCGGTTGCCATAGAACATATGTAGGCCAGACCAACAGACGTGTGACAAGTAGAGTATACGAACATCAACTTGCTGTTCTAAATTCAGCCCTGTCCAAACATTATCAAGGAACAGGAACCTATATACCGGGTAATTCAAATTCGACCCACACCATTGGGATCGCCTAAACTACAGGAGATACGTCGAAGCTTAAATTGGGGCAAAGTTGCATTTTTTGTGCCTAACAAAATACTGTTTTGAAACTTGGAAAATTCCGAGTATTTCCGGAAATACCCGGAAAAAAACTGAAAATCGGATTTTTTTAAATTTTTTTCTAGCGTTATTTGACAACATACCTCAAAACCAAGAACGCATTTTCATTGATACTTTTTTCAGCTACACATTTTCATGTTCAGACTTTTCGTCTTCTGGCAATTATGGCTATTATGGGGGCCATATTGTTTTTCATACAGAAAAATAGTGCTTCCCAGTCTGATTTCATTGATGTATAATTTGTTATGATTTGCTCTTCTGAAACCACAGGTATTTAAAAAAACA